AAAATTAATATTGACCAATACCAATTATATTTATACCATTTTTTACAATTTTTTTATTCTTTATCGATCATTTAAAATTGGTGTCAGGTTAGAAAGTGACTCCATAGAGATGATGTTGTTTCTACTGGACAGGGGGCTTACAAAAAAAAAAAAGTTAATGACCAACCCCTTCCTTTATTATAGGAGTTAGCAGAAGAGGAACTCCTTCTCACATAGAATCATAGAATCGTTAAGGTTGGAAAAGACCCTTAAGATCATCGAGTCCACTGCCAAGTCCACCACTAAACCATGTCCTTAAGCACCACATCTACCCGTCTTTTAAATACCTCCAGGGATGGAGACTCAACCACTTCCCTGGGCAGCCTGTTCCAGTGCCTGACTGCCCTTTCGGTGACGAAGTTTTTCCTAATATCCAACCTAAACCTCCCCTGGCGCCGCTTGAGGCCATTTCCTCTTGTCCTATCGCTTGTTACTTGGGAGAAGAGACCGACCCCCACCTCACTACAACTTCCTTTCAGGTAGTTGTAGAGAGCAATAAGGTCTCCCCTCGGCCTTCTCTTCTCCAGACTAAACAATCCCAGCTCCCTCAGCCGCTCCTCGTAAGACTTGTGCTCTGGACCCCTCACCAGCTTCGTTGCCCTTCTTTGGATGTGCTCCAGCACCTCAACATCCGTCTTGTAGTGAGGGGCCCAAAACTGGACACAGTACTCGAGGTGCAGCCTCACTGTGCAGTTCTCCATTGAAAAAGAGTTATCCCTAAGCTCAGTTTCTGTGAAGTCAAGTCAGAAAAGGTCAAGAGTAAAACAAACCCTTATGTTACTTACCTCAGCAACTTTCAGCTGAATTTCCATATGGCAATTATTCACAACTGTGTTAGACTTCACAATTTCATCATCATTGTAGCTTCTCAGCCTTTTTTTCCCCACACTCTTTAGCTTGAGGTTCTCCAACTAATGGAATTTCTGAGATAGCAGATGATTCTTAACCTTGCGGTTCTCATCAGTATTGTCATCACCCACCACTAATCTGTACGCTTTCTCCTGACAGAAGTAGTGTATCATCTCTACCTTCAGCACAATATAAATACCAGGTTTATGAGATATCAGGTGCTGCAGTTGAAGAGCTCAATGGACAGTAGCATATTTCATAGATTCATTGAGAAGCTTGGGCAGAATATGGTTATTTTCTTTCTTACTGAAATCATCCAAGAAGTGCTTATTCTAGGACTCTTGTTTCAGACTTTTACTATATCTGACATCAGATTTAATAGGTTAATCCTATTTAGTCCTTTGGTTTAGTTCACACAGACCTAGTATCTCTATGTTTAATTGCTTTGATGCTCTCTACTTCAATTATATAGAAGAATCATGCCCAAAAAATGTTTGGGTTTTTTTTTTTTTTTGATAAATAGGAAGAAGACATCTCCTCCATTAATGAACGGGGAAAATATGATTTTCAACATTGTTAACTACTTCCATTCATGGCAATATTTCCTTTTCTAGACTCTCTTCTTCCTAAAAATCTCTGGGTTCCTTAAATAAATAAATTTAAATGCAGTTTAGCCACTATGTCTGCATACGGTCTTCTGTTTGAAATATTTTTAATTTTTTACAGTGATTACATCTTACTATCAATTAAAGAGCCTTCTCCATCATGGTTTTGTGCCACATTGTCTTCTGTTTTGATTTTCCTGTCATGTGTTTAGAGTAGGACCTTTTAATGATTGGCTCATTTTTCACTTCTCAAGAAGAGCAAAATAAATGAATGACATGATACCAGGATGGCCTATTTCAGAAAAAAAAACTCACTTCATCCTAGCTTTCTCATGAACACTGTATCAGAATTTCATATTAATTAGTTTTATTGGCTGTTGGCTTTTTTTTTTTTTCCCCCCAATTCAAAGGACATGGCATGCTCATGATTTAGCTGGAGCCATTTTTTTGGACGATATTCAGGACTACTGGTAGTATCAAAAAAGTAAAGGTACAGTAATTAGAGTATGAAGCAAGGACATTTTTGGAGAATATTACATTATGTTGTTTGGCCAGCTAATCAAATTCTGTCTCTGCACTTGAATGGTGTTTGTGGCTGCTTGCAAGTAATTCAGGTCTGGACGCTTGTAGGGTTTCTGTTTGTTCCTTAGTACATGTTTTTACAGAGCATTATGTCTTATGGCAATGCCTGTTCAAAAAGTATAACTTGGGGAAAGTGATGTTGCTTCTTCATCTGTGACTCTGAGACCCACTTGTGACATTTCCTGACCTCAGGGGACCAAGCATGCACCCTGTTATCTAGCTACAGGTGAGAGGGCTTTTTCTTTATTACATGTTACTCTACAACACCCCCTCCTCTCCAAGGCTGTGTGCCTGAAATGAGGGTACGCTCTGTTACCTTGAAGGTGCTGGAAGTTGTGCTTAGAATCAGGATATTCATTTAAAGGGAGCACTGCAGAGCAGATTCATGACACCCTTTGGTGAGCAATGTCGTGTTCTTAGCTATTTACTCTAAAATCTTACAAAACTTAAACCATTTTAAGGTAAAGTGCAAAAAAAAGATTGTGATATCTAAAGCAAACAACACAGTTAAAGTAATAGATGTAGGTGAAGAAATGAAAAAAATCCCGCATCTATTTAATCTTGGCATAGCTGGTTGAAATCAGAAAGCTCTAATCCTTATCCAGCTAGTGCATTAACTTAAGAAAAGAGTGATTGATATTCTTGGAGAGGTGATTTTTGTATATATTTTACTGTCTTTCCTTCTTCCCTATTATATCATTCTGTGTATGTGGCTGGGTTTTGATGAGTGAAGGAACTGAACTATGCCTTCAGTTGCTCCCTGTGGTGCTTTGTATTTCAGATGGGTGACAGAAGGAAAGGTAGTTCAGATGGTTTCAGGAGCTGGGATGGCTGAGGAACTACTGATCAGCTAAAGAATTCCACCCTGCGATGTTTGCCCGTGGGCTGAACATGTGCAGACATTACATCTTAAGAAAAACTTTGAGCTGAGAATCTTCGTATCTTTTCAATTTCAAGGACAACTTCTGTTATTTTGAGTTCTAGAGGAGATTCTCAGTTATATTAATGAGGAGAGATTATAGAAATCTTTACGTATATTTTAAAAGTTATTTAGACTTGTGCTTTAACTTAAGCGTGTTCTTAAGTGCTCTGTTGGGCTGGCACGAAGGCTTCTACATGGGTGATGAAATTCTTTGTATTCTGTAAGTGTAGTAGCAAAATGCTTAGTTTTAGGAGTATTAGTTATAAAAAGTATACGGAAAAGTGAACAAATGTTGTAGGTACAGAACATCACTTTCGCTGCTCTGTACTACACTTCTGATCCTGTGGAAGTGTTAGGGAACGCATGTGCAACAATCAATTAAGTCCAGTAATTTGACAAATCATAAAAGATCTGCGGTATAAGAAGAGTTCTGTGATTACAGGTTCTTGCATCTGTATGCCAGCACTAAATACCTCACAACTTGAGGTTAAGAAAAAATGAACTCGTATCCTCAGGGATGAACGGTGCTCTCATAGCATCAGTGTTCTCGGCTGTTTTGGAGTCCCCATGTGCAGAGGACAGCACTGCGCCCCACTTACTGGCCTTGCTGGGCAGGACTCGTGGGCTTCCTGAGCTCATTTTACCAGATCGTAGGAAACCTGCCCTCCCTCCAGCGCTGCTGGAGCCATTTAGCCTGGGGAGAGTGCCAAGAGCCAGCCAGAGAGCCCTGCCATCTGTCTGTCAGACTTAAAGGGGAAAGTTCATGGTAATTTCAACCAAAGCTATGAAGTTAATGTCCTTAAGTTAGTGTTTTAAAGCAGTTGGGAAAAACACCTGCACAGAGGTTTAGTGTGTGTGCATTATCAGCGTCAGCTGATTTGTAGTAACTCTTCTGAGCATACCAAGGCAAAGATAAATGCAGGCTTTGCTTGTTAGGTGACACTTGTTAAAGGAATTTCAAGATTCCTTAAAGATTGTCATATAATTAGGATTTACCAGCTTGTTGTAGAGGTACTCTTCATTCTTTAGGTAATTGATGAAAGAAATTACAGTTTTCAGCAGAAAGCATATTGCAGTTGCAGCATACATTTATTTTTTCAGTCCATTTACTGATGAATTTGCAGTTCTCATTTCAGCTTAGGTGAAGTAATAATAAACAGAGGATAGAGTTTATCTCCATCCAGAATGTTATAATGCAATAATAATAGCAGGCATATTTGTTCTCATCAGCTTGGCTTCCATTTTGTTATTAATGGCAGTAAAATCTACAGTCTAAAATTAATCATTTGGAAGCAACAGCGGTGCACCTTGTAGCACCTTGTTTAGTTTAATTTCAGTTTATTGGATTTTAAATTCACATTGTTGTTGGTTTGGGTTTGTTTATACTTGCCATGGTCATGATCCTGATTTTTCATTATAAGATTCAAGTATTAAATGTTCACTGTAAGTTCTGTCATTGCTTTTGAAGCGCTATGTCACAAGAGAAACATAGCAACTTGGAACCTGGGTACAATTTCTGTGAACTTTTCTCTTACAAGAAGTATTTACAACAGTATTTTCTGTTGCCAGCAACACTGTTGAAAAGAAAATAATGTGCATAAGTTATTTTCAAACCATCTGAAGTGATGGTTGGCTCTGCTGGGCTAGAGCTCCCTAGCATGCACTTTCTCAGAACCTGTTCTTTACCTGTGCCACATGGTATAGGTTTTGCATTTTATGATGCTGGGAGAATTTTAAGTAGTAAAAATACTGCATACTTTAGAGCAGCACTTGTCTAACTTGTTCTGCTGAACTCGGTGTCTCGGCAGAGCAGAACTAGCTGTGGCTTTGAGGAACAAGAAGTGGATAAGGTACATTGTAATTATTTGCTTAAAATAATACTCTTTTAACTTTGATGCATGAAGTAGTTAGCTGGTATCATTAGATCGTGTTCAAGCAGTATTATTTAGATCTTAGTCTAAGGGGGTTTTTTTAATCTTTTTTTCTCTTTTTTTGTCCCTCAGTTTGTAAGACTTGTATTGTTCAGCACTTTGAAGACAGTAATGACTGTCCCAGGTGTGGCAACCAAGTGCATGAGACCAATCCACTAGAAATGTTAAGGTAAGATGACATTGCACAATATTTGCTGAAATGGAACAGCAAGAAATAAAAAATAAAATCTTGATATCTTTATCCTGAAAAGGAATTAAATTTTTTGCTTATTTGTAAAATACATATATGAGCTGTTCTTAGCCATAGATTCTGTCAATTTTTCATCTCCCAATAAATTGTAAATTGATTTTTTTCAGATCTAATAAAAGGAGGAAAGATAAGGGAAAGACACAGAAAGTCTGGGTATATTCTACAAATTAAAATAAATATTTTAATACCCCTATTAAACAAAAAAATGAACCCGGTACCTTTTATTCTTTACATGAAATTATAGAGTTTCTTTTTTCAAATGATTTAGGGCATTCCAGACTGCATGCAACTGTTTTTTTTCTTCTTAGAGCAATGTAGAAAATGAATCACGCAAATAACTTAATGTTTTCCAGAGCGTAGATTTACCAATCTGAATTGAAATCTGCTGTCAGATTAATGAAAAGACACTCATGAAAGAAAGTTTTGACACTGAAAGTGCCCTTTCTTGAGAGTTCACATTTTTTGTATCACAATAACACCTCTTCGTTTAAACAATTACTTTTCTTGAAATTCTGGAATCTCTTTTAGTCATGTTATGTTGAAACAAAGGTGATCAAACCCTACAAGTACAAACAACGTACAAACAAATCCTACAAGTACAGTACAGAGAAATCAAGAAATGTCATCATAAGTGGAAGAACTTCATGTTTTCCTAAAATGATGAAGCCACTCCCTGCCCTCACTCCCAACACTGCCTCCATCCCCCCTCCCACCCCCCACCCCCAATATTATTAGGTTGTAATACTGTTGTGAACTTAGGGAGAAATATTCTTATATCAATGTTAATATAAATATTTACATCTGGAATTTACTACGGTTGGTATTATTTCCTAATGTCATTGCGTTTGCTACAATTTGCCATATTTTGCTTTGATTTTTGACTGATATGTGTGTGCAGAGCAATTCCCATGCCTCAGCAATTCCCCTACCAAGAGGTGAGAGAGATTAAATTCAGCAACTCTAAAGGGTGTTATTAGCTTAAATCTTTGTCATCTGAATGTTTTTTGGAAGGGTAGGGCTAAAAGGGTTTATGTAGATGTTTACCATAAGTATTTTTCTGATCTCCTGTCAGTGTCTGAGGTGCTGTGTCAGCCGTAACAGATGTTATACAGAGTGCATAAGGCTACCAAGAAGCTGAAAACAAAAGCATTTTAGAAATATTTCTTTTATTCTGACAGCACCATTTCACAGGAGCTGAGAAATGCATTTTTTGAAACATCTAGTAAATGTTTAGTAAAATAATAATATGCTTTAAGCAGGAAATGATAGAAGGGTGAGAAAAGTTGAGACCACAAGCCAGAAATGTGGGAAAAGCCATTTTCTCTGCAATTCTTTCCTGAAACTCCTTTTAGAGTCACTGGGTTTATTTGCCAACAAACTGCATATAGCTAGTAGTTTGCCAGTTGTATTTTATGAAACATTTGCTAAACTAATAATCAGAAGAGCGCATGAGCAGTGTAACGGAATTATCTTTTTTGGATGTCGCCTGCATAACTTAATACATGTCTTATACTCTGACTGAAGAGAGCAGCCCAATCATTGCTCAAGAATGCAGTCATTTTCTGAGAAATGGTGTTGAACACTCTAGATAGTATTTTTAACTGACATCTTTGAGACATGCTACTTATAAACTCAATTCCGAACAACTTCATAACTATGTAGGTTTTTTAGATGTATCTTTTAGTTGGCAGCACTTAGGGTCTGTTGAAATTATAAGTCGAAGTCTGAAATGCAACATCGAGCTTTAAAATGAAAATCTAGAAAGTTGTGTTAAATTCTGAAATTCCCTTTCCTGCTTTAGCAGAATTCCGCATCATCTGTATTCAATAGGGTCTGGGTTGGTTATGCCATGAAGGCAGGCTTCTTTTTTTCTTGGTATGCTTCTTTGGATGCAAGTTTTCCTGAGTGATAGTCTTCATTTGCCTCACTTCAGATAATTAGCATTATCAGAAAGTAGCTTTGATCTTATAAGTCATTCAGTATTATAGAAGAGGTGAAAAAAGAAACTATACGAAGCTGACAAATGCTTGGTTCTTCTTTCTATATGTTCTGGTTTGGAGCTTGGAAGATGTAGGGGTGGAAAGAGGTGTGCCTAAAATATTAGTGTTCTTGTTTCAGTGTTAACAGGAAGTATCATATTAAATGACCGAGACCAACTTTGGAGTTACGTCAAGTAGTTTCATTTTGGAATGGGTTTGATGCGAGTCACAGAAGTACAAATCTTTTTTAGAGTGCTCATGAGCATGGATAATAGGAACACTGTAAGATGCGTCTGAAATTGAGAATCTTTTTGTAATTTCCTATTTTTTTCCTTACAGTTTAAGTTTAGTTCCCCTGTACTTAAAGATCAGATAAGTGGTATTTTTTTCTGCATTTTTAAAGTATTGATTAGTAGTTACACTTCATAAGGACAAAATAACTCTTTTTGTTTACTTTTTGAAAGGAAATAAAGTCATTGACTAGAGTATGAAGCCAGTTCTTGCTGCTAGCATCGTAAATTTGCTAAATAGACTGGTTTTCTTGCTATGTTAGCATTACCAGTGACTTTTGTTTGGGGCCACTGAAGATGAATTAGAAAGTGCTAAATGGGAATTTTCAAAAATAAATGTAGAAAAAACAGCAAATACCATCCTGAGGAATGGTTAGTGGGGTTTTGAATTAAGGTAGTGATGTTCGCTTTTGAAGTCCTTATTTCCCTTCTCTTAATGAGTAAGTTATGCAGATTGGACCTTTCTTACAATGTGAAATGAACTCCGTTTCCAAGACAGGTTCCCGAGTTCCTAGTGCTCTGCTGTGGGAACTTCATAGAAAGTAGTACCATCTAGTTGCATTAGATATGGAGAGGAGAGGCTAGAAGGGATAACATACCATTTGGAAAGGTAAACCTATATTGTCATCTATCAGAAGCTAAGTGCCCAGACATCCCATGATTTTGGTTTCCGTATCTGTGAGAAAGTACTCTTTATGCGTCTTTGTTTTAGGAGAGGTCTGTTTCACTTGCTGAAGATTTTTTTTTTTTGTCCTCATAAGAAGAAGCAATTAAAAAATGGATCGTGGTTGTAGTTTAAAATGAATATTCTTATGGTATGACTGTCTGCATGAACTGATGGATAACACAGGGAACTAGTCTCCGAACAAGATGACTGGGTAATAGGTCTAATTGTAAACTTTCAATTATAGACATCCCATGATTTTGGTTTCCGTATCTGTGAGAAAGTACTCTTTATGCGTCTTTGTTTTAGGAGAGGTCTGTTTCACTTGCTGAAGATTTTTTTTTTTTGTCCTCATAAGAAGAAGCAATTAAAAAATGGATCGTGGTTGTAGCTTAAACATGAATATTCTTATGGTATGACTGTCTGCATGAACTGATGGATAACACAGGGAACTAGTCTCCGAACAAGATGACTGGGTAATAGGTCTAATTGTAAACTTTCAATTATAAATACAAATTCTGTAAAGAAGAGAACCTGGAATGCTCATATATTTATTATAAGAAGAGAATTATTATCCATTAAAATGGCTTTTAGGCATTCCTCAACAATAAAATCATTCAGTCTTCTTCCTACTTTGGTGCTGCTAGTGAACAAAAGGTAGAGAACAGTCATATGTTTTATAACAGGCCTATGGTGTATTATTAATTAATAACATGTACACATCCACATATGTGTATATGCAAATATATATGTATAGAGATATATATCATTACTGAGATGAAAAATTAAGGCAATTAAAAATATGCTAAAGGCCATTATTATATTGTAGCTTCTGACTGAATCTCAAGGTATTTAATTTCTCTGGCCGTATTACTTAGTACTTTGTTTTGTCATGGGTTTTTGTTTAGGCTATGGACAGTGGGAGTTCCTGTTCACAAGAGAAGACGTAGAGGACAGAGGAGAGAAAGGAAAAGGAAACAGAATGAGAGACAGAGAAAACCAAAGGAGAAGTGAGACAGGGAGAGGAACTAGAAAGTGGATGATAAACTAAATGGATAGGAGAGTAGGTAAAATTCAGAGAAAAGGGAAGAAAAACATTTTAGCTTCAGCAACAAAGGTAAATGCACTGTGCTCTCTGGAAGGGACTGTAATAGCTATTTCTGGCACTAATATCAGGACATCAGAGGATATGCCTGTGCTGCATACTGTCATCTGGTAGACAAACTCATGGCAGATTTAAATAGTTTAAATGAATTATGTTGGGTACTGAGAACTGTCTAGCCAGAGCAGCATGGATACTCTGTGGTCTTCTTTATCCTGCCAAGACTAGTTTGTCTGTGTTGTAACGAGTAGGGAATAGTCTGTTCAGTTTTTCATAACAGCCTTATTACCAAACACTTGAACACTTAATATGATAATGGAGTTTATAATTTTCGTGCTTACTACTCATAACCTGGACCTTAAAATTGGACACTACTTTTCCAGTTTGTTCTTTTCAGGAACACAATTGTTCGCATGTAACACAAATTAAAACAATGTAAATTTTAGAGTATAATGTTTTTTGTCTTTTGCTTCATTTTTTGTCTTTATACATTAAAAATAAATTCCTTGGTTATTTCTAAAAGAAATCCATTCAAGAGGTAGTTGAGATAAGGTTTAATGCTTGTTGTCTCTCGAGCTAAAATCAATTGATTTTCGCAGGATGTATTATTTACCAGAAATATGCAATTCGTTTTATTATTCAAAAGTTTTTATTATTTAAAGGCTAAAAATATTTAAAATGCTAGTTTCTACTTAATGTGAAATGTATTTTTTCCCTTTGAAAGGCTGGATAACACCTTAGAGGAAATTATATTTAAGCTGGTGCCTGGACTCCGAGAACGTAAGTTTCTCATTTGGTTTTGGGTACCTGTTTGGGTTGATGGAAGGAATATGGCTATTTCTAATGATATACCTGTAGTATTGATTTAAAAATTCACATTACTGTTCTTTGATGTTAACTAGAGGAACTGCAGCGAGAGATCGAATTTTGGAAGAAAAACAAACCTCAAGAAAATGGTCAAGGTGATGATTTTTTTTTTTTTTTCCTCTCTCATCTGTACGTTAAGTAGCATTGCTCATTAAGCCCTGTTTCTTCACACACTTATGCATGTACATTGTTTTTACTGAATTCAAAGATACTATAGAAACTCATAATGAATCTATGTAAATGTAATCTGGGCCTTCATGTACTACTGCTTATCTATTAACCAGTTGTTCTACAAACTCTAGCTGTTTTACCATTAGTTTTATTTGCATTTCCTTAAGCTCTCACTTTGAACACTCATGCAATTTTCCACTTGAATTCTTAATTTTCTTAATACAGCAGAACTACTTGAGTTTTTTACAGATTTTCTGTTACTGAATTTGACCAGCTGTTAACTAGGAGGTTGTCAAGAATTAGTTATGACAAGTAGTAAAACAGTTTTCCACGCATGCTAAACAATTGTTTTATATAGATTCCAAAATGCTTTTTCTTTTTTCTTTCTTTTTTTTTTTTTTGGTAGTTGACCCATGAACTTTGAGAGCTCAGTATTGAGGTGCTAAGTGAGGACTACATCCAACTGTTTTTATGCCTCTTTAATTTGAAATCAAGGTTTTGATACCATAGCCTATTTGATTTGGGCATTTTTAAGAGTTTTTTAAATGCTCTGCTAAGCTAAAGAAATAGCCATTTTTAGTAAAGGATCACTGTCAAGTAAACATCTTGCAATACTGCACTCGGTTGTTTATAATATCTTCTTTTCAACTTCATAACATTTCATTTTCTTTCTCACTAATTGATTTGCATTTGGCATCCATTATAAGGGACAAGGTTCTTATTATATAATTAAGAACTGCAGGACAGTTTGGATGAAATGATATTAGTTTACTACAACATACTCTGTAGCGTATACCTATTCAGTTTTAAAAATACTTATAAAATATTTTTATGAAATATAGACATTTGACTGTTTAGAAAATGATTTTCTGCTATATACATAGGTAGCAAAATATAACATATAATTTGCAAATTTGTAGAATGTCACTTATTTTTAACCAATTTATTCTTCTGGTTCTTACCTTCCTCCCATAATTTAATGGTAAACCTAATGGAGATCGGTTACTAAGCGTAATGAGTGATTGGATTGTTTTGTGAATCAGAGGAAAGCTCTGACTCTCAAAATATACTTTTAAGTAGCTACAGATGTATCCAGCTCTGTTAGTGGCTACATCCTTGGGCTATGGAAGTTTGACTCTACAAACCATTTGAAAGTCATGATAGCTCATTGAGACAAATTATGAGCATTTAAACTGTTTTTCTGCCATAAACAAGCATTTAGAATCTTGCCTGAGAATAAATTATTTAGTGAGAATAATTTCAGTAAGAAGGGACTGTTTCAGTTGTCAATAGTATCCCCTGCAATCATATAGTCAGACTAGTTTAAAAAAGTCCATCAGTTACATATTTACCACAGGGCACAACACAGTTCCCAACTTTAACATCTAAGATCTGTAAAAAAATACCAAGACTTAGAATTTTCACGTTTCGGAGGAAAAAAAACCCAAACAACAAAGCGTATCTCAGGCATTGGTGACTCCACTAGGAGAGTGGTTACTAGAGAGAAGTGATGGATGATGATGGGAAACATACTGTGGTACAGAGAAAAAAATCTTTATTGGTCCTTTCCAGTCTGAACTGGAGAAGGAAGAGGGGAAACAGCTTTAGATTGACTCACTCTCTGGAGATCAGTTTTACACTGAATCTCCGAGAAAAGCACAGGAAGTAGACAATTTGCAAGGTTTGCAAGAAAGATGAGGAAAAAAATGTGACACCAAATTACGCCTTAAGGAAAGGGGCGTGGAGGTGAGTGGGGAGTTGGTTTGTTTTCCTTGTCTTCTGTTCTTGGCTTGATGCTTTGACTTGGAGAATGCTGAGTCCATTTGGGTGAGATTAAAATTTCTTTTTTTTATTTATTTTTTTTTAACTTGTATCATACTGAACCTTAATATCATGCCTACAGTGGACCATCACATTGATTTCTAGAGACTGCCTGTACAAACATTATTAATTCTAATAACTACAAGGATTTTTTAGTAAACAGTCTGGTGCCATTTACACAGAGGAGCATTTGAATTTCTGTCAGATATCTTGAAAGATGCAACTTGGGTTTTGTGTGTACCTGTTTCTGGAATGATGTTATGATTGGAAATTTGCTAATTTCCCTGGTTCTGGGGTTGGTTTGCCTTTCAAGACTTTTCAGACTGCATGACCAAATCTTCCTCCATTACTCAGCAGTGATAACTATTGAAAGTTGTGTATGTGTTTGCATTGCTGAAGAATCTGTGAATCACAGGCAGACTCCTCAGACAAATGCTTGTGACAGGTAGACTGTACCTGCTTGATTAAGAGAGTTTGCTTCCTGGACTTTCACAAAAAGAAAAAAAAAAAATCTGTAGTTTGGTACTGTAAATTCTGTTCATAGCAAGGTGATAGGAACAAAACGTATGTATGATACACATTCAACTAAATGTGTTAATAGCTAGTAGAGACTTTTGGACAAATCTTTTATAATTATAAAATACTTCAATGTAGCTTAAAACTCATCTTGATATGTAAACTAAATGAAATGAATTAATTACTATGTCTAGGAACTTAAGCATAGCTTGATATTTGTTAAAGTTTTCATTCTATTTTCTCATCTTAACTCTTCTAAATGACTTTAAAAGTTTGTGGTAAGTGTAGGAAAAGAGCAGAATTTGATCTGAAAGTTTTTCAGGAAATGCAAAAGTAGCTTATTCAAGTTACTTGTGATAATGTTTTATTCAAACAGAGAGCAGCCTTTGTTTTAAATCAAAGTAAGTAAGTTCGGGATACAGAAAAAACCAAATGTATATAATAGGGTTATTTTATACTGTATTCCAAATGTGTAAAAATTACTCCATGTTATGGTTCATTGTATGGTTATTATTTACATACATTGCAGCCTTATCTACGTGTACTTGCTAGTCTTAGCATTCGAGTGTTCAACTATGCTAAACCTTTGAAAACTGCAGGAGATGGTGCCTTTTCCAAAGAGTTAGATTTTTAAACCAAGAATCAATAGAACATGTAACAGCATCAATGAAGAGAGATAACATGGTATATGTGATTATATAGGATATATGTGCTCTGCCAAAAAATATGGGGACCATTCCTCTTTTCTTATGTTTTTTGTTTTTAAAGGGGAATAAGTAAGTATATGGCTATTTAGTTATAAAATCCTCCTGGAGAGAGACACCTGGAGTTTTTAAATGGCATTACTTAGACCAGGTCAAAAGTGGATGAAAGTTAAGTTTTATCTTGCCTTAGTTTAATTCATGATAACATTTCAGGAACTTGTCTCCATTGGGTTATTGCAGCAGACAATTAATATGAACTGATTACCCGTGTTACTTTGATATACAAGTGTTGGGATTAGTTATTCCGCTGTTTATTTAAAAGCAATTTTTTTTGGCAGTGAACTGCCACACCATGGAGTAGGTTTATGTGGTTGAGCAGTCTTGATGCATGCACAGTTGCAGGGTTTTAATCACTGGACACAAACAGCAGTAGACAGCCATAACCATTAGTGGTTCATCTGCCTAATTATTTTCTGTCACACAGAAATCTGTTGTTTGCATATTACATTAAAATTTCAATAATATAACTTTGTTTTCAGATTTGTAAATTGATCAATTGAAGAATGCACTGTATTAAAATTGTATAAAGTTAATTTGAAGAAAAAATATGCCCTTGAAAATGAACTATTACTTTAAGTATGTTTTTGTTACTACTGTGACTTTTAATTATTTTACACTTAAATAATATGATCTTCATATTTTACAGATGAAAGCCCAAAAGCTGATAAACCCAAAGTAGATGAGGAGTGTGATGAAAATGAAGAAGATAAAGACTATCACAGGAGTGACCCACAGATTGCTATTTGCCTCGACTGTTTACGCAACAATGGGCAGTCAGGAGATAATGTAGTCAAAGTGAGTAGTAAAGATAATCTGTGCTGTTGTTATTGTTGGCAGAATAGCATCTTACAGGAACCAAATCATTTTATAACCATTAACAATAAACTGTAATGTGGTGACCTGTCTCCAATTCCATTCTTGTTTAGTCCTTTTGTTTGAAGCATTTCAATGCATCTTGGAATTTTGTAAAAACTACAATCCCATACAGAAATCCATCTGTGACAGTGGATTTTATTTTTTTTTCAATGGGTTATAGTTTTGTAGTCTGCAGCCTTGATGATATATAACTGCATTACACAACAGATTACAGCATACCACAGAGGTACTTAAAAAGCTAGCTGTAGGTGAGCTGCCTCTCACTTTCAGGATTGCTGTCCTACCATGCCAGTGTAAAGCTGCTTTTCAGATATGTTGTGCACTGAATGACTGGGATGCAGATCTTCTGAGCTGTAAACCTGATTCTGACACTGTGGCCTTGGGCAGGTCACTTCCATCTATAAAATGTGTAGGGTAATATCTGCTAACTTCTGTTTTAAGAATTAGGCATATTTGTTTTCTGTTCATGAAGGGAAGATTACCTCATGGTATTGAGGCTAGAAGAAAGTGTTCAGAAATGCTCTTAGATTTTAATAATGTTTTCTTAAATTACAAAGATAAGAATTAAAAAAATATTAAAAATTTGTCCAATAAAACACTACTTATATTTCCTGTGTACTCTGTTAAATGTATAATTTTGGAAGTTCTTACACAGTGAGAAAGTTTTGATTCAGCAAGAAAACATATGTATGTGTTATCACTGTCTGTTTACGCTATATACAGTAAGAAATCTGTATCTCCATCACCATGTAGGAGTCTCAGGTTTCCAGCTTTCTTGTTGAATCAAAAGTATGAGGTTCTGGATCACAGAATCTGTGATAATAGGTCACATCTCAGGTTTGTAGCTTCCCTGTATTTTACCTAGATTATTTGAGGGTGATTTTACTTCCTTTTTCTCTCAAGGACCGAAGAAATTCTAAGAAATTTAACATCTGTTTGACCCTCAACATAAGTAACACAGACACTTAGATTATTTAAGTTCTTCTGGGGTTTTTGGTGTTTATGGTGGGTTGTTTTTTTTTCTTTCCTGCCTTCTGTATCTTTTGGAAATTTCTTTAGAACCAGAGAAGGGTTAAATGAACTTGTTTGTCATCTTGTAAATATTGCAAAAAAAATGAACAAAAATGAACCCATGGTGCCATTATGAATTAGAAGAGAGTGCAGTAAAATTGGTTACTGGTTGAACAAAAATGCCAATTACAGCTGTTCTTGCACTAAAGATTGCTTACATGCTCCAAAATTTCTAACATGGTTTTTCTGTTTTGTTGCTGTTGCTTTAGGGTTTAATGAAGAAATTTATCCGCTGTTCTACTCGAGTGACTGTGGGAACTATCAAAAAGTTTCTCAGCTTAAAATTAAAACTTCCAAGTTCTTATGAGGTACATTTGAGAGAACGATGCTTGTATTTTTATTTCCCTGTGAAGTATTAGGTTTTTATGAAATTTAATCATATTTGAACTTGAGGAATATTTTTTTAGCCCAATCACTAAGTAGTGTTCAATATTCCAAGTTATATTTTCTGCCCTTAAATGAGAAGTGATCGTTTTATCACAGTGACTGAAGTTGCTAATCAAGGAACTCATACAGTTCTAGTAACTTCAGTTGCTCGCCTGTGAAGGAATAGATACATTAGGTTTTGGTATTTTTGTGTGAAAAATAAATGCTTTCTCTTTCCATGTGGCTAATAAAGAAAAGTCACTTAATACTGTTTTGGGCTAGTAGCTACTGGGGAAAGGAGAGACCAACTAGACATGTGCCAAATTACTCTGCAGTTTCATTTTCTTTAGATGTAAGAAACTATCCAGTAATTATGAAGAAGTGAGGAGCAATACCATTTGAATCTTTCAAAACGCAGATACTTTTTTTGCATCTTCTCTGGAATTAGATGGAATTTGATGGAGAGAGGGTCTTTGCTCCATGAGTGATTTGATCTTGGCCAAGACTCTTCCCTGGGGGGACTTGCTAACATGATAGAAGTTGTGATGCAGGATGGAGTTGGGAAGTGTGAGACTCCTGCCTCTGCTTTCCCTCTTCCCAAGGATACAGGAATTTTGACTTCAGCACAGACTATTTCTTCAGCCAGTTCTCTTACAGGAGTCAATGACTCCATGAACCACAGGCTGACTTTAGCACAAATGGCAGCATCCCAGCTTTAGTCAGAGGTAGGGCTGAGTTAGATTATGTGCCCAGGTTATTGCAGAGCTATATGCAGGAGTTTGTCACAGTATCATGACATGCTGACCAGCCATTTTGATGTCATTTGGTGTTGTTAATTATGTTAATTTAATCTGTCTCTGGCACCTTAATGGCCTGTGTTATGTAGTATCTGCTTACTTCAAAATTTTGACATTTTTTTCCTCTAAAAAACAGAAAAGCATTATGGCTATAGTAATGAAAGAATTTTCAAACATTTCAGTGGAAGGTAGAAGAAAGATGCACAGTTTAAACCAGCCATTTTTCGCAGTAAGATCATTAGGGTTTTTTTTTTATTTTGCCTTCAGTTAATGAAGAATCATGTTTTGTATACTCAGAAGTGTATTTTCGTTGTAATGTATAGTTATTTTTAAAGTAATTTTTTTTAATTACGTTATCATTTATTTCTGAAAAATGAAAATTACAATACTTCTGTTCTGTATCTTTGGGTTTGAAAGAGCATTGACCTAGCAAGAAAGCCTTCAAAATACAGCACAAGGCTTTCTCTTCAAACAGGTGGCGTGTAGTATTGATAAATACAGGGAGTGTTTGTCTACTAGTGATTACCTACCTAGTTTAGTAGACTTTCTTCTGTCCACACCTTAATTGAAAACACAAAAGTGAAAAAATTAAGTGGAGTACTACAATTAAAAATAGCAGTATAATTTATTGTCAGTATGTTTTATTTATCCAGGTTTGATACACATGTCTGATGGAATTATTGTATGATAGGAGTTGAGGGATTAACTCTCAGAGATTCACTTAGGAGTTCATTTAGACATTAAAATGTTCACCCCTTTGTCTTACTGTTTGTTCTGTTGTATTTTAAGCTGGATGTACTATGCAATGGAGAAATCATGGGGAAGGATCATACTATGGAATTCATCTATATGACGAGATGGAGACTAAGAGGCGAAAACGTAAATGCTGTTACGTTATTAATAAATGATGTTTTGGTATATTTACTATAGAGAGTACATATGCTTTCACAGCTCGGTCCAAAATATATTCTGTGACCATTCAAAAAAACCTTATTTAAAAACACATTTTGCATGTTTTTTGGATTTATGTTAAACCCTATGAGTGAAACCCCACAGCACATATATTGTGCAGATTCTGAAACTTAAAAATAGCAGGTATACAAAGTTTACATGCAAGTTCTGCTATGAGTTTTAAGTCAAGTATCTGAAAACCCAAGCACTTGTTCTTTTTCTGCAAATTTGCTTGTAGTGACCTTTTGAGTTACAATGGTTGGGGAACCTGCATCCAGCAGTTCTTTAAGAGTCTGTTTTATTCAGTAGTAAACTGAAAGCGACACTGAAAAATTATTGGAGAAATCTAATTGTGTTATTGCTGTTTCTGTTAATACTACACCCATTTTTTTTAGATACGCTGTATAACTCTAACATCCAGATAACACAGCTAAATGGGTTTTCCTTGCTGCATGTGTATATTTTAGAATTCCAATATTTAACTTATTAAAAGACATTTCTTTTAGGTCTGATACTCAGTTTGATTTAGTAGCCCTTACATTGGCTTGTATATTTAATATTTTTTTTGTTTAAAAGTCATATCCCCATTTCTTCTCTTTCTTTTATACATTCATTTGTGTATGGCTGTTGATTGTTCTTCAGTCTTTACTGCTTTGTAGTATATGCAGATTTGTTGTCTATCACTACCAGTGGAGGGTATATTGGCGTGCAGCTAAGGTTAAGCACTTAACCCATGTTAAAGTACTAATCTGTAGAAAATTCCAAACTTTCTGTACTTTTTTTTTTTAAAGCTTCCCAGTGCTCAGAATAAAAAGCACTGGGGCATGGACAGAGAAGACAGAGGATTAAGCACACTGTAGAGTTAATAATTCACAAGTTTCTTAAAGTTTTACCTTAATCAGAAGGGGGGTGGGGGAGAAAGGATAGATTTTGGTAGGAATTAGGGGAGTTAACGTATAGGCAAGTATTCATTGAATTTGAAAGTAATATTGCACTGAAATTTGATGATTGCTGAAACCCTGATATTGCACCAATAAGGGAGCTTTAAGTAGTATTTTTTCCAATACTGCCTTGAAACCAGTGGGTGTTTTTTTGGCTTGCCTTCTTATATTTTTGTTAGCATTGGCTGTACTCTTAGGAAATGTTGAGGCAACAGCTTCAGTGATACTGGAATTCTTTCATGACATTTAATTTTGCAGCCCCTGCCTACAAATGGACTTTTGGCAGTTGCATTAGTTTGGAAGCAAAGTAACTATCATCTTGACAAAAAGGACGTTATTTGTACTGGTTAAAAATTTTCAAAAATCTCAGAACTATAGTTCTTAACATTAAGTGAATATAAGAGTTGGCAACTCTTGATTAAATTTGTAAGTTGTGTTTACATACACATACTATAGTCAGGTATGTGTTCATCTTTTCCTTTATGTAGTTTTAAATCACTCCCTGAAGTCAGAGATCACAAACTAAAACCTGTAAAAGTTACATTGTGCTGGTAATAAATCCAGTAACATCTGGGCTTCTGTGATTTTGTTTTCCCTAACTGTGTTGGGTCTTGCTATAAAGCAGAAGTTGCGATGGTAATTAATTAACAATCTCTTCTTTTGGGTGAAGATCAATTAAATCCATTATCTCCATCTTTGGTACTACTCACCATGAGCTTTCACTGGCACACCTGTGGACCTTACAAGAGGTGGAGTAGTAAAGGGAAAATATCCATTTATTCGTTAGAGAATTCTTCCCTGTTTTAAATAAGTAAACTAATTTTAACCTTTACATTGGAAAATTTCAAAAAAACATTAAATGGTAAATGTATATGTCCAGCTGTGGATGCCTCTTATCTGATCAGAAAATCATCTCCTTCGCAGTTTCGGTGTCAGAACTGCTCATCTTCGCAAGTCTGCTCACAGGATGGCACTTTCTATCAGGTAAGAGGCACTCACGACTGTACATACTACAGTCATTAAGGTCCTGTCAGCACTTCAATTGTAATCCAAGTTGTGGAGTTTTTATAATTCCTCACTAAAAAGTGCTAAAACTCTATGAGCAAGGCCTGAGCATTTTTGTTCATTCAGAGAAAGCTTTATTGAATGAGTAAATACAATCTATTCAAAAGGTTTAGGGGTTTCCTTCACTTTACATTAAGCCACTTATCTTTTCGTTAGGAAGATACCGTTCTGTAGGCTGATACCTGCACTAGTTTGGAAGGATTATCTACCTCTTCCTATCTCATCCTTCTAACTAGTAGCATTGGGCAGTCACTGACAAGGGATAAAAACTGAAAAGTGTGAATCAAAAGAGACTACATTGGTTTCATCTCTTTATGGCAATTTGTATGTTCTTTTTAATGGAGTAAAGAAATGTTAGATTTTTCTAATACTGTGTTCATTTCACATCTTTTAAAATTAGAAATGGAATAATGCCTTATCTCTAGAATATAACAAACCAAAACCTCCAGAACCTGCAAACTGAAGTTGATTTCTAAATTTCATTGATCAAACTGGTTCATACCTATATGAAACAATATTTCATTTTCCTCATTGAGAATTTTGATTTGAACTGATTCCTAAAAGTTACTTTGGAAGTTTGAAATAATATTTTTGCTTGAGCAAAAAATAGAAGTTAATGGTAGAGGGTCACTCCCCAGTATGGATGGGAGTGACCTACTGCAGTCATGCCTACTTCAGTAATTAGGATTGTTCCAGCATAATGCATTTTATTTATACAATTGGTTTGTAATTTTGTTTGCAAAAAACACTGAGCCTTACTGGTTTACAGGGCAATTTCAGTGAGGTGACTGCTCTGTCTCTGCCTTTATGCACTTCCAATTAGAGCTGAGAACTTTTAGAGACAATTTATATAATCAAAGTGAAAAACATGTGAAATAGCATTTAAATAATATGGTAGTCATATCCTAGGCAAAAAAATCAGAGACCAAGTAATTTATGATACTACAAATATATGTTTGTTCATTGCACATGCAGACTACATGTGGTGCTCCCTGTCTTCTCTCCTAAATGCTGCTGCTACTGTTGAATACCTCTGGTTTTATGTTTTGATTTCTCTGCACTCCAGTTTGTAAATCCCCAGCAAGTATGATCACATCTAGTTCTGGTGATCATTTTACTACCATGGCATGGAAAGTTTATTAACCTGTATAGGTCTCTGCAGTGATATCTTTATTTTTTTGTCACTGAAGTTCATCTGTATTGCATTTGAAGGACACAGTAAAGTATTTCTGGTTTTAATGATAGCTTCTGTAATAATTCTTCATAATTCCAAATTTGCAATAAAAAAATACTTAAATTAGCAATGTTCCTCTGCCCTGTGGCAGAGAGGTAGTTAAGCCCATACAGTTGCTGAGACAGGGAGATTTTCCTGGGTTTTGTACTATAGAGAACGTCCAGTATCCTAATGAAGTTAAGAGGAAAACATCAGACTTAAACGAAATGCTGACAGACTGAAAAAATAAGACTTTTAGTAAAACAGAGCTTCCAGCAACAAGTGCCCAGGCGTTCCACGGCACTTTCTGGAAACCTACCCACTCTTGCCTCCCATTCCACAATGGTTTTGTCCAGTTTGGGGATCCAAGCAGTTAATTTGCCTTTTTTTTTTTCCAGTAGGAACTAATAAAAATGTATCACTAGATCTGAAGTTGAGGAGTTTGGGTTTGGGGGAGAAGTTAGCCCTCATGTCTCAGAAAATCAGCTGACAGCAGTTTGACCTGATTTTTTCTTTTTTTCTTTTTAATGCCAGAGTAGCCTGGCTCCCATTAACTAGTGCTGACTACTAGTATAGCTATGGAACCTCTGTATATATAAAAATCAAAGAACATCTGTAAATGGACTTTGTTTTAGAAAGTATAAAATTTCAAGATTGCTTTTCCTCAAACACAGCAACACAGAAATAAGAGGAGTTGTTTGAGCTGTTTGAGCTGTTTGAGCACTTCAAGAGTATATGTCATAAAACATATAAATCATTAAATATATAAAAGCAGATACAGGAATTTTATATTAATGACAAATAACTACAACTAGCTGACTTAGAGAATAAATATAGATTTGAAGTACAGGTATGGATTGAACTGTTGAAATGTATGGAATTATTTCGTGTAAATAAAACTGATTGCCATATACACATGTCTTAGGGATAAGCTCTGGCTATTCTTAAGGCAATCTTCAATTGCATTTTCTTTGTATTTTTTATGAATTACGTGTTCATGTTTTCTTGTCTGGTTTTGTTGTTGTTTTGCTTTTGTTTTTAGTCTTACCCTATGGTACTTCAGTATCGACCTAGAATTGACTTCGGTTAGACCAAAGGGCCAGATCCCACTGAGATGAATCCTGCACTATTTGTTTACCCATCGACAGATTGCACAATGAATGGATGTGCCTGGATTAGGGGGACACAACCAGATTTTCAGCATGCAAATAAGGACATTGTCTTTCTTAAAATTGTCAGTTGCATCTCTGTTGTTTCTATTAGAGCAAGCCAAGTGCCATTCTGCTACTGAAATGTGCATAAGATATTTGTGTATCTTACGAGTGTGCTGCAAATCATAGCCAAAATCATGAAGTGTACAGTCAAGATTCAAAATCTATGGAATATTTTTGCTTGCGTGTTAGAAATTTTTTCTGGTCCTAATATTGATTACACTAGCAAAATGGCAAGAGTGCTCATTCCATGTGGTGTTGCAGTTTCACACACTTACTATTTTACTGAATATTGTTGTTTAAATCATAGAGTACTGTACAAAGAACTAAGGATTATACCTTGAAAATATTTTGTATAGAAAATATATTTAGAAAAGTGGTGATTGGGCCACTACCTTTTTCTTGATAAGCTTCTCATGGGTCCAGGTATAGCTCACTCATGAGTGTGCAACAGTCCTTTTGCAGTGAATGAAGATTAATTACCTTTAACAAGAGATGTAGAACATGGTAATTCAAACCAGTGATTTTAAATCTTCTAAATAGATTCTGCTAATATTGCTTAAAAGCGTCGCAGCCTTTGTGATTGCACTTTCCTGTGGTTTCCCTAAAGATTGGAATTTGGGATACTAGCTATTTTTGGAAAATGGCTTCTGGTCAGATTACATTTCTTCTAATAAAGCCTCCATAAAAAGGAAGTTAAAAATAATGTCAGTGTCTACGGAACAAATAAATTTCACTGTAAGATTCCAATCAAGGCAAAATTTTACATAATTATTGCCTTTCATAGTAAGCATTTCCTTTTAAGATTGGTTGGAGGTATATAATATGCTAAAACAAAAATAATACATAGCTTTAATTACATTATATCTCTCTTGTGACTATCTGGAGTTTAGAATTCGTTATAGAAATTTTCATTCATATTTCCATAAAAATAGAGGTAATGCAATACTGAAGATAAGCAGTCTGACCAAAATAATTGTTCAGGTCGTCTTTTTCCTGAGACCTGGTAGTGCTGGATTAAAAAGTGATTGTTGCCTTAGGTATTGCAAGCGTAATGGTTCTAGTATAGAATGTTTATTGAAGTTTCTGGTAATGTTGCAGGGAGCATAGTAATGCATATGTTTTCTGTAGTCTTCCGTTGTCTTTGCTCTGCTTAAAAGTCAGTTGAGTTTTTCACTTCAAATTCTGTGGAGATACTTATAGTTCAGTACCTTTATGTAATTTCTACTATGTAATTTCACTGCTAGTATTGTAGATAACTGTTTACTTTCTTATGCCTTTTGCATACAGCAAAAAGGAACCAAATCAACTTTTCAGAAGCTACTATAGAGTGAACTAATCATACTTAGATAAGACAAAGTGAAAATTCTATCTTGGGATCAAGTATAAAAGATAGATGCAAGGCTGTTACTCCTTTGTAAATTTTCATTCATGTACATTAGTATGTTTCTGTAGGAGAAGGAAGCATGCTGTGGATTAAATCTGGCCCCTTTAATGTTAGTAGGAGTTCTAACATTGATGACTTGAGGAATCCGTATATAGTCGGGTTAACTTCTACCATTGCACTCCAAAGCCCATAAGACATGCAGAAATAAAGATGCTGTCGGTAGCAGTCTTTAGGAAACCTGCCATTGCAGGTCAAGGTTGCACATATTGTGCAGGTGCCAGTGAACCTGGGGAAGCAAAACGTCTAGGAAGCTGCTGCTCCTTTCTGCAGGCATAGTGTGCTGACTGGTATAGGCACTGGTTTGCCCACGCTGTAGATGAGGATTGTACGTGCTGGCTGCAGGAAGCGGTCGTCTTTTTGCCGACCCAGCCTATGATGTACTACTTGACAGAAACAAGAAGATACTCCATGTAGGGAGGGATTTCTTTCTCTGCAGAGTCTCTAGGGAAAAACAGATTCGTTGTGTATATAGAGGTCCTGCTCATGGAGCAGCTTGGAAGAGCAGAGCATGCATTCTAATTGCAAATCATTCTTCTCTTTAGTATATACAGTTGTTTTGTATGGTAGAAATAGGATATTATTTGTAAATATTTACATGCACATACAAATGACACCTTACAGTTTTTATATATTTCACGTGTTTTTATACCAGAATTTTCACTGTAGATTGACTTGACATAAAATGCCTGTTTCAGTTTATCACAAACCTAATGGTAGTACTCTTAAGCATAATTTCTGCTTGGTGCAGGGGACAGGTTTTTTTCCAAACAATTGCGCTTGCTGTTTTGACAAATTTGAACAGACTTGTTTTAAAAAGAGAAGAACACATTATTTTTAATCCATTTTCAGTTATCTTGCACAGAAGTTTGCATCCACCTAACAGGATCCCTGACGTAGGACTACTTCGTATTGGCTTCTGAATGGCAACTAACAGAGGATTTGACTAATGACTTTCTGTATTCACAATTCAGAGAACCATGAATTCTCTTGATCAGGATTGGACATTGGTTTAATTCATGGTATTTTCTTGATGCAACTTAAAGCTAGATTACAGAAGGCAAATCTTCATTTTAAGCATGGAAAATACTGACAGATATGATTTAACGTTCCTAGCTGAAAATCGTGGCATTAAATGCATATGATCTAGCCACCTACACTTTATGCATTTCTGATCTGATGGCATGGTGCCTGAATGCTGTTATAGTTTAATAGTTTTTGTAGCAGTGAAGTGCCAGTGAAATACATATCTTAACTGGGCAGCTTGCATAACACAGGCGTTGCCTTCTTTACAGGAAATTTCTCTCCCGTATAGTACCTATGTGCCGTGTGTCTACAGATATGCATATTTAATTCATTTGTGCCAATTAAGAATACCTGAACAGCACAGGAATATGAGAATGCCTGTACAGATTCCTGTGTGCCAAAGATGGGGTAAAGTGAAATGAGTACCTAAGCATTCCATTAAAACTGCACCATATGCCATCCTAGAGCAGATTGCTGTATACAGTCACACTTTCTGAGCATTTCCATGACAGTGTCACCACTGCATGTTTGCAAAGAATAGGAATATAAAGTAAGTGTTGCTGCCACTGTGTTTCTATGGCTTTCCCATATTGGCAGTACCTAGCTGCAGAGGAATAAGACCTAAATAAATTCCACACTACTACCTAACCTTGCTGTCTCTCATTTAGCACATTTGGTGTGTTTGTTTTTTTCCCCCTAAAAGTGAAAAACTTGTATCTGCTGTAACTCTGGGGTAACTCATTAATGAAAGTCATAAGGAAGATTTTGTTGAGCATAGCTGTATGCTGCATTTGTCTAGTAACAAACTGTAAGCTGGATTTTACACGTGAGATCCTATAGTACCTCAAACAATATGGAATTAGATGATTAATCAAGAAATGTATCTTCCATCATACATTACTACACTGCTCGTAGCTAAGGGCCTAGTCCTATAAGCATATTTTTATTTGGATGAAATACCAAATAAGATTACTACAATAAGTGACTCATCACTATAGTAGGTACTGTTCATATGAAAGCTTCTGGGATTTGGGTCCTAGGAGTATGCAGCGCTGTAAGTATATTGTGCATACTCAGCTAGCTTGCAGTTATCATGCAAAAAAAATTTCTAAAAAGTATTATTTTGACTTTATGGAAAATGTTATATAAAGCAAAGTGCCTGATTATTAATACAGAATACCTTTTAAGCCCATTATTTGCATTTGGCAAGGTAATATTTGCTTCTGTATTTTATCTATGGTCTGAATATTTTCAGCAAGAATATTTCATAAACATGCTGTATTGAGAGGCTTTCTTTCATGGGAAACAAGCAGAAAAAGAAATGTGTTCTGTTAGATAATTTAAAATTCAAAAAACCTATCTCAGTAGAAACTACGTGAAAAGAATTACTTTTATATTGAAATTATTTCATGTTCTGCACGAGGAGCCCTTGAATTCTGGATCTTGGTCTTTTTTTCCTTAGGCTCCAACAATTTGACTTGACTTCTCTCTTGCACAGTTATCGAAAACAGTTTCAGTATATCTGCAGGAGAAAAGAGATTGATCACAGTCCCTTTAGATATAAGCTAGGCTCTTGTTCGCCGCTGCAGACAAAGTGATGGTCCAGAGTTCCATCTCATCTCTCCCGTGTATAATTGTTAGACATGACTTTGTGAGAGAAGTAAACAATTTTCCTTCTCTACCGTTTTCTAAAATAACAAAATAGGCCAGTGTTTAGTCCTTTAATTGAACTAATCACTGACCTGTATTGTTCCATTTGTGGGTTTTTTTTTACATTTTTAGCTTAGTCAGGTACTACATCTGGTAGAAATATTAGAGAACAGAGTTGTTCAAAGCCAGTCGTAAGTCTCAAAATAAACAGGTTGAGCCCTGTTTATAGAGGGGCTACATAAAATACTGGTCAATTACACGGACTGATCAAACTCATTTTTATCCTGGAAAAGACCAAAGGCAGTTAAGACTTATATGCCTATCCACAGCAAATACATGAAGATAGAGATGCTTAAATCAAGAGCTTGGTCCAGTTTCTTCACTTAACCTAGACAGGTTGAAGGCATCTGTTTGATTCCATTGAAAATGCACGTATCACGCAGGATATTCCCCTCTCGTTTTACTTCATGCTATGTTATTTTATTATTTATCTCAGTTAAAATGTCTATTCAGGCACCCTGTGTCCTGCAGTTAATTCTAGGTTATGCATCCTTTGCCCGTTCCCATACCCCACCCCATTTCACACCCAACAACATTGCAGAGTTATAAAGGAAAAATTGCACATGAGGAATCAGCTCATAGGTTTGGTTTGTCAGGCAGCTCTCCTGAACAGTTTTCACAGTTCTGCATTTTGAATCCTTTGTAGCCAGTTTGAACAAAGTAATACTTCTACAAGGTGTTCAGCTAAAGACACTTGTTTGAGGAAGGATTGCAGTCTACTGGACCATGTTCCAGGATGGATTCCAAGAGACAAGGGGAGAGATTCACCCTAAAGGAAATGTGAAAAGCTTCCAACTGCTCATTTACCACTAGTTTTATCACATATGGGTAGTCTGGCCTTCAGACCTCAGCTGAAAAATCTTTCTGGAGGAACGTCCTCCAAAACATGATCTTAAAATGGTAATATATTTTTCTTCATAAACAGATCTACTTGTTGATTTTTATTTTTTCTTTAAACTACTGTCTACACTGTCTGTAGATCAGATTAAAACATCAGATTCCAGAACAGGAACTTGATTAATTAATGAATTCCTGACACATTCTTCCATCCAAGGTATGTGCCATAAATCTTCTGAATTCAGGTAGCTTGCTACTGCAGTTGAGTAAGGATGTCGTTTCATTCTCTGGTGAGCAATTTAGATCCATGCAGTTGCAAAGCGTGGCAGTAAAACGGAGGAGCTCTGTAGATGGGTGGGAAGATCCAGGCTACCTTTTGTACTTGCAGAAAGAGACCCAGTTCTGTAGGCTTAGGATGGAGGAGGCATTTTGGAATGAAAGATGTCTACAAGTGGAATTTTTTGTAATTACATTAATTTTAACCAAAGAGAGGCATTAGTTTGACTTTGCATGTTTATCTGAACCATTAGGCATACTTTTCTTTGAAGTAACTTTTACGTGTATTTTTAGCAAATGCTTCCTTCTAACAAGGTTTAATAATGTGACAGTTGACAGGATGAGGTGAACAGAAGTAGTTGCTGTGCATTTTCCTTTTTCCTCATGATAGTGAGTGGAA